GCCCTGAGCCAGTCTGGTCCTGTATTAGCTTCGAAGGGGCAAAAGAATGAAGGAAGTGGAGAAATTAGGAGTTGATGAAAGAAAGTAAAATAGTAGGTAAAGCTGGAGGGATATAAAAACAATCCTGGCAAATTTCTCTCCATAAGTCATGGGTTTTTGCACCAAAAATCTCAATCATTTGGAATGTAGACCAGTGAAATATGCGAAAAACTAAAGTTGTAATACCTATAGAGGACCTCCTTGGTTGACATCCAGAGGTTTCTCGTAAAATTGGGAGCAAGCTCTATAAACATGGCCTAAAACATAAGGAGCCAAGGCTATCCTCTTCTTTAAGGCAAGAGCCTTGGCAAGTGGGGCAAACTCAGATGTAATCCGCTGAGATGAAGTGCAAAAGAGAAATTTGCATAACCAGTACAGAATGAAGGAAAAGAAATCTTGATCGCTTATAGGAGCTACCTTCTTGTTCTCAATTTTTACAAAATTACTGAAGGAAGAGTTCAAGGATGGGATGGTGAAGTTCACCGGAGTGCCTGGGTAACTAGGCAAAAAGAGAGCACCAAGTGGTGAGAGCCCTAAGAGATGGCAAATATCAAGAACGGTGGGCGCCATCATACCACACCGAAACTGGAAAAAATTAAAAGCCGAATTCCAGAAACAAAGAGTTCTAGGAATCAAAAAAGGATTATCAGGAATAATGAACCTAGAAAGGCGAAGGGCATCAAGGATACAGAGCTCTTGTAGATCCAATTCTCTGGTTGGCACAACTCTGCCATACCACTCCTCTCATTCAACCCTCAATATGGGCCAGCAACGGTGGGAACGGTTTAACCTCTAGCTTCCCCAATCAAAACCCCCTTCATAGAGCAGACAGTGATCCTTTAGACGACGATACAAAACAGGAAGCTGAGCTAGGGCTTCTCTGAAGATGGGTCCCAAGATGTATTCATGTTGTTCATTATGGTGAGGGATAAAGAGGCGACCATCTATGGCACTCGGTTCACCGGTTCTGAGCCTGGATATCTCTTCATCGATGCACCTCTTTAAAGCCAAGGATGGACTCACGCGCTCCACAACTAGTACTTTTAGGGAGGAAGAAGCCATTAGCAAGAGTTTTCTGAGGATGAAGCTAAGAAAATAATAAAGAGGATAAGAGAGCAATAGATATGAAAGGGTTTGTGTTTTCGACAAACGAGTAAGATAAAAGCACGAAGGGAGAGGGTTTTAAACCTTTATGTTCGAAAGATGCCCCATCTGTCTAAATGGGTAAAAAGACCCAAGATAGATTGTTTGGCTGATGTTGGAACCCATATAAGTTTAAGACTTTTTCCTAAAATTTGTGGGGGTCATGAAAGTGCAATGTGAAAAGTCTTTCTCAAGGTTGATTGTTTGGGCGGGAGACACATCTCAAACAATCAAATTGGCTTCGAAAACAAGTATTTGGCTTCGAAAGTCAAGATTTGGCTCCAAAGCCAGATGCCAAACGATCAACTAAGGCTTCGAGAGGAGGTAATTGATTTCGAAGCACATTTCACGTTTAAAAATGCAAGAACGCTTAGGTTTTGTCTACTTTAAAGGGATTAGTGACTTGTTATTAGGTTTCTTGTAAAGATAAAATCCTTCGAAGTTAACTTTGAAGTGCTCTGCAGCTAGAATTTGTTTGTTTTAGACTTTAAAGTTGCAAAACTAGTATTTGGTTAAATAGTGAAGAAACCCAAAAGGGCTCACTCTTTAAGAAGTAAGCAGTATAATTCCTAAGGGAAGTTCCCATACTTTGAAGCACTTAGATTGTGTTTTGAAGCAAAGTTGGTTAATTTGAAGCTGTTCGTTGAGCAAGAACAGACTATGTTAACCATATAATCGGAACGTAAAGCAAAGGTTGCCCTTTTTAAGAGAAAATTCCACACTTTGAAAGTTTTTGAGTTAGGCTTTAGAGCAAAATTAGTTGATTCAAAACTTCTTTGAACATAATGAGTTAGGTCACAACAACCATACAATTAAGCATACAATTATAATATAAAATCAGATCATGACAGATAAAATTTGAGAAGCCCAGTTTTATTGATAAGTAATATTTATATTGGGAAAACTCATTTGGCTACATTCTCAATTTCGTAAAAATAGGAGATGGGCAAAGTTACAAGATCATGAAACTTAGTCCAGCAAAACTCAATAAGCATATACTCTTTTATTAATCTATCTTCTATCCTACCCAAATTTGGTTTATCTAATTGATGAGCCCTTAATTGGAATAAGAGTTGTTGGGCTTTCATTTCAAATTCTATTTTCTTAAGAGCCTTCTCTATCTCATCCATCTCCTTTTTCTCATGTGCTTGACCCATAATGGCATTTTCTCCATACTCTAAGTTTAGGTTTTTGAAGTTCTCATATCCTTCGAAGAGATTCTCTACCTCGCACTGAATTTGGATTCGAGCAGCAGCGATTTCATTCAATACTTCATTGGTAATAGAAGCACTAATGTACCAATTGAGTAAGAGAGGGAGTTGGTCCAGGAAAGTATAGAGCTCTGCGTAGGCTACAAGGTTGAGAAGATGGCTGGAAGAAATAATATCACAAGCCCATAACAAGTTCTTGTGAGGAATATCATCTCGTAGGACTTCGAATGACAAATGGGAGAAAGCGGCAAGCATGGTTTGAACCCTATATTGCTGGTAAGCAGTTGGAGGAACTGGAGCTTGATAAGGAGCGAAATGTTGACTCTCGAAGAGGATGAGCCTCAATTCCTCAATCCAATTTGGGTTGGAGGGCATCAAAGGAGCAGTGGGAGCCTCTCTGAATGAAGATGGGAATTCATGTTTGTTCAGACACTCAAGCCAATCAGAGGAACAAAGTTTTGCTTTTTGGCTAAGAGTACAGGACTGATTCCTAAGGCTTCATCAGGGTGTGGAGCCCTTCGCTCCATTCGAGACGGTAAAATAGAAGTATACCATGCTGAAAGCAAGTTGTCCTCAAGGCTGCGTAGAAGATTGAAAGGAGCGTATGAGTACACTACAGAGCTACACATGGAATGATGGACTACAAGAGGGTTATCGAATTCAGGAAATCGATGATGGGTGTGCTCCCTCGTCTGAGGTTGAGTAGGAGTAGGCCAAACTCCCCAGCCAGAAGCTTTAGAAGAAGAAGAGGAAGCAACAGCCTTATCCCACACAAAAGATTTTGTGGTAGAAGAAGAGTTTCCAATATCCATTGTTGTAAAGTCTTGGCCTGAAGAATTATGAACAATAGATTCTTGATCCAAAGGTCGATGATTTGCAAAAACTTCCATGACTTGAATGAATGGAGGTGGATAGGTGTGGCTAATAAATGCATGAAAGTTCTTTCGAGGACGAATATCATTATCTAACAACTCTTCGTATGCTTGACCTATGAAAGAAAAGGTTTGCTTAGCCATGAGAATTGTATCAGCCTTTTCATATGCTCAAACAGTGGGAAATGTTCGCGGCATAGAAGAGAATTTAATGCAGTACAAACATTGCAATGATGGACGTCGGCTGCATTTCTAAGAAGATGCAAGCCCATGCACGTCTTACGACGTGGGTAAAGTGCCTTGATCCACTAATATCACCAAGTATTGGGTATATTAATATGGGAGATAATGTTGATTGTATAATTTGTAAAAGCCAATCACAATTCAACACGTGACATGAAGGGGGCAATTTAGGGAGTTAATACAAGTTGCCAACCAAAGTTAGACACGTGTCATCTCGTATTGATAATAATGGATCTGCGTAGCACTGGAACAATCGAGGGATATAAGATGATGTAGCCTAACGGTTACTCACAAAGTTCAAATTCAAAATCAAGAGGGAAGCCTAACTGCAAGAGTGGCGTAGTGAGACTGACTGTGAGAGAGCATGTTCAGCAATCATGGGAGGACATTTTGACAGTTAAAAGCCCATTTCGATGGTTATCATTGAAAAGTATAAATAGCAGAGAAGGCCCCAGAATGAAGCATATAGACTCAGATCAAAAAATCAGTGTATTTACTTTGTTTTTCCTTCCAGTTTTTACAGTTGCTTACATTTCTGCACTTCAATTCATGTACTGTACTTCATTCCTAGGAGTAGTTTCAAATAGGTTGTTGTTGTAAACCTCTACAAGGCTGGGTTAGATCATTGTAAATTTTTCATTTTACTTGATGAAATTTAAATTCCGAAATTATTTTTCACTTCTTGTTATTTACTAAATTCTCCTAAACAAGTCACCAGTAAAAATCCTTTTCATTGAGGTTGAGAGAACTAAAACACAATCGTCTAATAATTGGTTGGTAATTAATATTTTGTAAAGACTGATTGATCCTTATTGGCACGTTTAAAATTACATTATTAACCTTCGAAAGCCAAAAAAATCAACAATATTTTAATGGAGAAAATAAAACCACCATTGTTGATCACATAACTCACTGAAGTGGTATGCTCATATATGGATTTCTATAAAGCAATGTTTGAGCAAAGCAAATAATAATAAGCATTCATTTTTCCAACAGTCTTAAATAACATGATCAAATCTGTACTGCACTACCATTACGGATGACATGATACCTAGAAAAACATTTCGTCATTCTCAGGATAGGAATTACAAAATCCTTAGCTCATCCTTAGCGCGCATATATATATATATATTGTTTGGAATAGAAATCATAACTCTCTATCAAGGAAATTGTAAAGAACAAATATGGCACATTAAGACTGTTGTCATTGGCAAATTTCATTCTATGTAAAGATAAAGATAACCTAATAATCTCAAGCTCATAACATCACAACCATTTTTTATTTTCATCTTTTTGGTTTGTTTAATTTCTTTATTCTTTCTTTTACTTTTGGGTAGATAATATCTGGTTCAACCAAAACCCAAAACATCAAACCAGAAAATTTGCTATGCTAGTAATCCCGCTTGGTAATTTTCGGGGAAAAAAATTTACAATCGATATATAGTGTCAAAATTTAGAATTTTTATTCAGAATATAAGAATGCTAAATACAATTCTGTCAACAACAACAGTCTGTCAACAACAACAGTATGAACTATATCTGCTAAAAAAATTCTAAATGCAGAAGAAGATTGTATCTCTGCAGCCTTTTCCATTGAAAACCTCATGGAAAGATTTTAAGTGGGTCTTACTTGAAAGACTCTATTGTACCAAATAGAATGAAGAATCATATGAAACAAATCATACTTAACGGGTTCAGCATGCCAAAGAAAATGCTGCTGTACCTCTTTCACCCTCTTCTGCATCTCGAGATACTTCTCCTCCGGTATAGAAAGGAGTATATTCTTCAAGTCCGGAATATCCTTTTCCAAGACGAAAACAGCAAACGATTCCCAGTTCAAAACCTCAAAAAAGGGAGGCACATAGTTGTCGGATATAATAACCGGGACACACTCGTACAAGATAGACTCCACAACACGTGGGCTGTGGACTGCAAAGCCTCTTGCACAAATGCAGTACTTGCTGCTCTTCATGTGCTGGATGTAGTTTTTGTTACCCCTGACAGGGGGCAGTCGGGTGAAGATTTTCATGTTGGGATCTTTGTTTCCCCAGTACTTCAACAGGACTGGTCGGACTTTACCATGCATGTACCCTGCAAAGAAAGCGAGGATTGGCCTCTCGGAAGGAAGCTCACCTCCGATACCTTTGAGGGGATTTTCAGATGAGCGTACATACGTCGTTGGAAGAGAAACATCCTTGCCTATGTTGAAGCCTATTTGGAGATCAGCATTGCACAGGGCTCTGAGGCAATTGGCTATACGTCCTCTTGTCTCAGCTGGGGCCTGAGAAAATGGTGTTTTGTTAGAAGTTTCAACTTACAGATATTGACTTCTAATTTTGAAACAAGAAAAGGGTCCACATGTATCACAGGGATACGTAGCATTCCATTTTGACCACCAAAGGCGTCTAAAGTTTAGATAATCGCTTTTCAATCCATCATAAATTTGGAATAAGTAAATTATAAAAACAAAAACAAAAAAAGAGTAGAAAAGTTGGTAGTCAAAATTCAGCCTTAATTTGGCCAGTTAGAGAAATTAGGGTTCAAGCTAGTGGGTGAGGGAAGAGCACGGGGAAAACATCAATTTAAACATTCACAGATGCAACCTTTAAAATGAGCCACTACCCTATATTACGATGTATTGAAACCATTAGGAAATAAAATTTTGAAAATCACCCGAGATATATGACAAAATAGACACATGGAAACAAAATGGAAATGATAAATCCCATGTTGTACCCAACTGGCCCTCCATAGTTATGAGTGATGGTAACTTGAATGAAAACAGAGTTCAGACCCAGTCGTGGCAAGCAGTAAGAAAATGATCTGCTCCACCAGTTCTGTTCCAGAAAGGATGCGTTGCTGCAAGCATTTCCACATGATTCTTCATGTACTCGATTAGGTTACTACGACTGTGTGAATTATGCACATAGAGTGTTAATTCTAGCAATCGGGAACTAAAGGGCAAGAAAAATAGATGAGCTCTTGTAGGGTCTTCCGTAACAAAATGTTTGCTTGCTTCCATCAACTTGATGAACCATCCCTCAGAAGAGTATATTCCTTCAAGTATTGACTCATGGAAGATGGGTTTTTCTCCTTCCTTGTAGATGTATACTTTGAGCATGTTTTCCATTAACTCATAGCTCCTGCAAATTTGATCATATGCATTCTTAGAATTGAAAAGTGTCTCATGTAAGAAACATATGTCGAAAAGTTGCACATAAGATTCCAGAAATATTGTTAAAGCACATGTTTGCTCTACACTGCCAGTTCAAGCAGACTTAGAATACTAAAGTAAGAAAAAAATTTCGAGTACAAATAATTTGCAGGTGGTTCTGTTTCTACCAGCTTTTTCCAACTCGGGTAGTAAGTCATAAAACAACCCAGGTCATCTGATAGCCCACTTGGACCTGTGTCTCTTAGAAATGTACCTCTTAAACATTGAAACATTCCGATAAAGAGGACAGTAAAGTTCTGCATCATTCTCGATATTGGGTGCATTCTCTATCTGTGCTTTTGCATATAGCAGTTCTTGATCAACCAATGAAGACCATTGAGGTGCCTGCACAAAAGAATCAAGGGAAAAAAATGACTCCAAATTTTTTATAGTGAAGTCAATCCCAACTGACAAAATCAAAATATAAGGTCCTAAATGTACCGCTGATTGGGGTGAAACGCGACTCAGCAGCAATAAAGAATTCATCTTGGATATTGACATTACTTCTGATGTTGGTGTTTCAGACCTTTTGTTCACCACGGGAGAACTATAGTTTGACAGGGTAAGATTACTCTGCAGTGGACCAGGTTTTTCATCCTCAGTATGCATGTCTGTTGAAATTGCAAACAAAGAGGATTAATAAACAGTATCTCACATTTTTTTTAGACATCCAAGAAATATATTCTACTTCAAAATTCCTTGATAAAGAATTATCACCTGTAGTTACATTCTTTGAGGAAATACTGTGTTCAGCTTCCCCAGGCTTCTCTAGTGCACCACCATTTTCTGAATTTTCAAATTTGACCAGGCTCAAATTTTTGTTTTGTTCTTCAAGATTCCCAAGTGAACTTCCTTGATTAAGAAATTCAGAAGCACCATTTGATCTTCCTTTGGTTTCTGATACAACATCATTCTTGGGTACTCTGTTATTTCCATCATTCCCACCATTCGTTTCTTTCATCAAATTGGAGGCTTCAATTGTCTTAGTTGAGTTCAAATCATTTAACAGTGTGGTGTTGCCAACCAACTCAGAGTTAGACGGTTCATGTCCAGCAGGAAAGCTGCTTTTTCCCTGGAATGAAACTTTGCCTGTGGAAAGTAGAGATGATAAAACACTGCCATATGGAAGTTCAAAATGCTGAAAAACCATAACTACCGCAAATGTTACCCCCAATAGCCAAAGCAATCTTCTTGTTTCCATTCGATATTTAGGTCGATGTCCGTGATCCATGTTGCAAAAATGTACTTACATTCCAATCTTAGAATCACTATCAACCATGCAAAATTTCCAAATCTCCGAATTAAGTTGGTTACATAGATTGAACTGTCTCAAGAATGGTACTGCCACTGGTTGGCTTTTGCAAAACTCTAATCATGTCAGCAATATTACTTGATATTGGATGTTACCATGCCGGCTACCAGAACCATGGGAGGGGGAAAAAAAAGAAAAAAAAGAAAAGTTAAGTAATGAGAATTCCATGAATTTGAAACATGGATTGTAGCAATGAAGGCAAAACTTAGCTTAAGAAAAAAGTTTTCTCGTTTGCCACCACAATAGGTTGGCATCTAATCCTAAACATTCCACTAAAGAATATGTGATGGGATCCAAAAAAACCCTGAGAGCCCAAAACACTTAATGTCATTCCACTGCCACACATAGTCTGTCATCTTCAGCATTAGATAGCAAAAACAATCTCCTAACATTTTCATTTAAACTTTTCCAAACCAGAATTCTTTAAAAGTTTGCCCAAAAATTTACTTCATCCAAACTAGTGAAAGAACTTAAGGAACATCCATTCATCACCAAATGCATAGATAGCATTTGCTTATCATAGAATTGAATCAGTCTAATCAATCATATTTTCGCCTACTTGTAGCACGTAAATACAAGCATATCTTCTGAACTTCTCAATGATTTACGGAAATTCAACAATGCCAATTCAAAATAATAATAAATAAATGAAATGGACCCCCTTCACCAATTCAAAATGCTACAATTTGAAACTCCATAAACCTGGCTATTTGATCCCTACCATCAAGGTTTCATACTTCAGCTAGCCAATGGTGAGAGACCGTATTTCCATATTGTAGGCCATTTTCACAAACAGTACCTACGTCTGTTTGGACGGACTGAATAAGGGTGGACTGCAATATAATAGATTGTTAGTCCTAAATAAATAGTCCCTAAACTATTTAGATAGAAATTATGTGTATTTGGTTATTAGTTTGACCTTTACTAAACTAACCAAATGACGCATTAGTAAATTTATTGGACATGGAGTCCAATCCCACACGTGAATCCCATGAAACAAACGACCCTGATGCATGATCACACCACATTTTTTTATAGAAGAAAGCAGCTCTTTATTTCCTGTACTTATCCACAAAATGTTAAGTTCACTTTGCAGTATACATTCATTTCTTAAATGTGCTTGAAATAAAACATATCAGAACCAATTCTTGTCATAAGCTAACCTCATATTGGGTTACTGAGAAATAAGAATCGTAAGAAAAAGAAACGTCAAAGTTACATAATTTTAGAATCATAAAAATTTCCTTATTTAGCAGTGGCACCCAGATAGAGAAAACAACAAAATCCCATCATATTTTCAATATCTGGAAACCGACAAAACAAACAAAGAGTCAAAATTTTGTGTTTTTTCTCATATTCAATCAATTTTCTCGGGAACCAAGCAGATGGCGACAGCAAAATGAAAAGAAACAAACAGAAAAAAACATGCAAACTGAAACTGACAGAGATCCATGAGAACTAAACCAACAAAATTTATAGTTCAATGTACAGAATGAAAAATAAATAAATAAATAAAATTACTCACTGGGTTTGATGAAAAGCTTCGAGAATAAATTAAATCGTGTCGAATTAATAGAGAAAATAATTAAAATCACCCTATAAAAATAACTGTAGTGATATCCTTGATCGAGCTTCCACTCATACGAGACGGGGATCTGGTTGCCCTTTGTTGTTTTGAGTAAATTACATTTAACGTCCCCTAAAATTTAATAAAATTGTAAAAATCTCCCCTGAAATTTTTAAAATGACTTAAACTTTTCTTGAGATAGTTTTCAATACTGACACGTCTTATGCTATGTTTAATTGGGAGATTTACGAAGAGAAATAGAAAATGTAGGTAAAATGTGAATAAAATATACTTAGATTTTACTTAGTTTTGTTGTCCAAATTGTGAAATTAAATAAATAGATTCACGAATACATCAAAATTATATACCAAGAACACATACTGAGAATTACAACTAAATTACAACAGAAATACCCAATAGATTAAAATGGTAAAGAAAACAAACCGAAACCTGCACGATAACAGTTTCCTTAAAATAGATTTTCGCCGCCTCACGGGTCGAGTGCTTGAAGAATTTCGACATCTGTCTCCCAGGATACGATGGTCAAAAACTAGCTATGGCAGAAGCACTCTCTGTCTAGCTTAGCGAACAAAACCCGTGGCAGCACTTTCTTACTGTAGGAACTTTCTGGCAAATTGACTTGTAAAATGAAAGCAAAAATTTCTGTGTTGAGACTAGACATGAAAGTCTCAATTTATACATGTATAGAGGAAAAAGAAACCGCCTCTTGCTTTTATGGCTGGTCACTAATGCATCATTAACCTCTGCAATATTACAGGAGTTACAAACATATTATATACACTTATCTCACTACCTCTTTCATAAATCTTACTTTATGAGGCAATTTCTCATTCAATTCTCAATGGTTTTTGGCTATTCTTTTTGTGGTGTAAAGATCTCATTCCAAAGTATCTAGACCCACTTGGACCCAACACAATAGATGGTTGGGGCCTAATTTAATATTTAATTGAAGTCTCCAAATTTTTTTCAACAATCCCCTACATGAATAAAAATTGACCGAATGACACAATAAATGGATACCGTTCAACAATAATGACTTGGAGAGGGAGTACAACGGACTAACCCTGACATTAGATAAGGTAGCTTTTGGCTTTGAACCTCTACCAGTGAAAACCTACCGAGTTTACTGGCAAATCAGTGAATATGACATCTTGAACTGCTCTATCATTTATGTGAACTGAAACAATAGATCTTATACGGAAATTACTCCTACCACCATTTTGTTCTCACTAGTGTTGTAACAACCCTGACTTGTGATTAGCCAATAATCCATGATTAATTATGTCTAATAAGTAATTAAGACGAAATTATGAATTAATTGCATATGTGTTGTATTATTTATGTTTCTATCTGTTTATCGTAGGAATATTTGTTTGAGATTCTATTATATTTTGCGATTTGAAGGCCTTATCGGCATCCGATCACGAAATTGACCTGGTTTCTGTGTTAGTTAGCATTTTTAGAATTTTATGGTAGGTTCAATTGAAATTCGATTCAGAATCAAATAATTAGAATAAAATGATACCAATTAGTTATCTTTAATTCAAGTTGATTAAGCTTCATTATTGGGACCTATATAAGGCATATGAGACCCCTAGGATACACCTTACACTATCATGTCATTTTACTTAAGCGCCAAACGTGTGAGGGAGAGGGACCAAAAGAGATTTGAACTCAACTAGAGCAATTGAGAAAGATTTGAAAGAGTTGGCTTGGAACCTTAACCAATTAGCCACCTAAAGCATAATTGAACACCTAAGGTAAGAAATCAAACCCTTAGTTGTGTGATTGAGTTGGTTCATGCAAGAATTCAAGTGAAAGAGGTAGATTGACATAAGGATTAAGCTAGAATTGGAGAATTGTAACTCATACCATGCATGCATGCATATTTTCTTCTATTTTAAGTTTAATTGTTAAGGATTCTCACATGCATATACTAAGTCTACCATAGTTTTGCAATTTCATCATGTTTTTCATCAATTTGCCTTAGTTGATCATGTTTTGGAAGATTTGAAGTCAGGAAAGTGCTTGCATGTAAGTCCATGTGTTATTTTCAATGTTTCAAGTTTAATTTTAAACAAAAAGATGAAGTTAAAGTTGGGTTTTGAAGCTTGGAGGTAAATCTGGAAATTCTAGAATTCGACCTAACTGCTCGAATGACAGATCCTGCACTCGAGTGACAAAAAGTTGGCTTGAGCGTAAATTGGTTGCTCCCAGAAGGTTTTACATTTTGTAGGCCGCTCAAGCGACCAGAGTTGCGTTCAAGCGAAGACTTTAGTCTCACACTCGAGTGATCTTCGAGCATGCACCAAGCGGAAAAATCAAACAACCAATATTTTTGTAAAGTTTGCAGTCCACTCGAGCGACCACTCACATTTTTGAGCCTCCGCTCGAGAGAAGGAAGTTGCACTCGAGCGAGGATCCTTGTGATACCCCAGTTCCGTAGTATGCTAATTGGTCGTTAATTTGAGTATGATTATGTGTTTAGCATGATTTTATGTGCCATTATATGAATATATGTGATTTTGAAGTTTTATTTGTTCACCGTAGGAATATCTGTTTGAATAATCTGCTTTGAAAATTAAATTGAGGGCCTTATCGGCCACAGAACCCGAAATTGATTACGCCATTGTGATTAGCGTAATTTTTAGAGCCTACGGTGAAATTTAATTGAAAATTTATTCGGGTCAGATTAAACTGATTAAATTGATGAATTGAGTGCCCAATTATTTTATATTAAAATAATATGTTAATGGGGCTTGTTGTATGTTAGCACTACACTCTCCTTTAACTCTATGGAACTCAAAATCTGAGTTATACAATTGAGATTGAGAGAGAGACGGCTGTTAGAGAGAGAGAGAGGAGAGAATTGTGCATTTGTGGTTCAAGACTTGGACCTTTCGGAGATTAAGCTCAAGCATTGCTAAATTGGGGAGATTAAAGCTCCTTGGTGAGTGATTCATGCATTTATAGTCATCACCTTGTGAATTCGAGTTTAATGGATGGTCAAGAGCATGAATTAGTTTGAATGTAAGGGAATTGAGTTGCTTGTGTTCAATTGAAGGTCAATGAAGGCATGCATGTATATAATTGTTGTGGAAATGCATAATCTAGCATGTATTGAGTTGAACATGGAAATAAAGGTGTTAAATCTTACATGCAAGTATGCTTTTGTTGTATTCCATGAGAATGAACACCATTTGCATTGTTTGGGATGAAAATGAAATCAAGATTAGCATGCATGTTTGAATAATTAAGATATGAGCTTTGAATGTATGATTTTGTTTGTATTAGAATGAGTTGAATGAGTTGATGGGAGATTGGGGCATATATGTGAATTAATTGTGAATTGGGCTCCACTGTAATGTGTTTTGGTGTTTATGGCATGTTAGCATAACTATATTTGAGATTTGAGCCATAACATGCATGTTTTGTTGGTTGAAATTCGAATTGGAGCTCAAGAACTCAATCTGATGTCCGGTCGAGCGGGGGAAGAGCCGCTCGAGCGAGAAAATCGTGCTCCCAGCACTTTTTACAAAGTTGGATGTCCGCTCGAGCGGTATATATCACGCTCGAGCGGGGAGTTTTTGTAGACAGGCCTTCCGCTCGAGCGCTCTATCCCACGCTCGAGCGTATTTTTCATGCAACCAGTACTTTTGCAGGTCTTAAGGGTCCGCTCGAGCGGGGAAGTTGACGCTCGAGCGGAGACCCTGTTCTCTGAAATTTTGTATGCTCGTTCTGTGTTTCGTTTTCTGTTCTCTTTCACTTGTAAGCATTTTTAGGCATATGTTAAGCATTGTAAATGAGTTAATGAGATAAGAATAAAGCCTAAAGAGGAATATGTAAATCAAAGAACGGATTGAACTGTTAGTGACCCCTTTTGTGTTCATGAAATGTGTAGGGTCAAGCTCCAGGGCAAATCCACAAGCCGATCACTGTGAGTAATATCGATATTTGAAAGCTTGTCAATGTCCAATTGTTTATTTCCCTTATAAACTTTATGAGTTGCTGATTGGGATTGTGGACAAAAGTTTGACATGATAAAAATGAATGGACCAAAGGTCGTTTTGATAGAAATGAATAGACCGAAGGTCGTTTTGATAGAAATGAATGGACCAAAGGTCATTTTGATAGAAATGAATGGACCGAAGGTCGTTTTGTTAGAAATGAATGGACCGAAGGTCGTTTTGATAGAAATGAATGGACCGAAGGTCGTTTTGACATGAATGAGTTGGCCGAAGGCCGTTTTGACATAAGTGAATGGACCTAAGGTCGTTTGGACATGAATGTATGGGCCGAAGGCCATTTTGACGTAAATGAATGGGCCGAAGGCCGTTTTGACAAAAATGAATGGGCCGAAGGCCGTTCGGACATAAATGAATGGGCCGAAGGCCGTTTTGACATGAATGGAAATCTGATTGGGCCAAAGGCCAGTATGTTTGGAACTACAGTCATTTGATCTGAATTTTGTATAAGTATATATATGTTAAGCAGAAATATGCATTGGGCCCAAGGCCGTTCGGAGCATGTTGTTCTTCATATTGCTTATGTAACTTATGTATTCGATATTATTCACTGGGCTATCGCTCACGCTCATTCATGTGTTTGTAGGTGAGCCGAGGGAAGTCCAAACCCAGCCTTAGTAAAGCCTGTCAGGAACAACATGAGTTTTAGAGAGTCAGCCTTGTGTCTCACGTACGAGACCTATCATTGCCATTTTGTTATGTAATTATGTTTTGTCTTGTTGGCAAGGACTTTGTGTACATCTGTATATAGTTTTGATATGGGTTGACTCAGTTTGGATGATCCTGTCTGTAAAGGATTTTGTGATACTGTACTTGTTGTGGATTATTAACGTATATGTGCATGGTTTGTTTTGAGTGCATATAAGCACGACTCTATGGACAGAGTTTTAAATTTTTGCTTCTGTTTGGCCCCTTTACTCTGATGAGTTATGGCTGTTAAGGTTTGAGGCCGTAGGTAATCTCAAGATTACTGGCCGGTTATGTCCTTAACCCATAGGGGCGGGTTCGGGTCATGACAATCCTGTTTTCAGCATATATGCCTAAGAGTTTTCAAGTGCATTTTAGCATCC